AAGACACTGTTGCTCGTGATTTAATAGAGCAGATGATAAACATGGACCCTCAGAAACGTCCATCTGCCAGCTGTGTGCTGAAACACCCATTCTTTTGGAGTTTGGAAAAACAGCTCCAGTTTTTTCAGGTTTGTGTTGACCTTTTCTGTCCTTTCAGTTCTAAGGACCCCTGTAGACATCCTTCAGATCTTTAATTCAGTCTCTCCTAGCTGTGTGGATGTTTGAGGTGATAGACTCCACAGCCTTACTGTGAGGAATGAATAAGCAAAGTTTTCATGCCCAGGTGCTATCTCTGAAAAAATGGGCTTAATCTTACACAAGATCTTTTGTTGTGGGGCTAGAACGTCATGTGATCAACTGCAAGTGGAGTGAAGAAGGTCTCTAGCAGCTACAGCAGCAAAGCAGGACAACATGTTGCCAGGTGGGGGGTTTCGAGAAGTGGGCCCTGCAGCGCACACCTAATCCTGCTATGGGGTGGGAGCTGGCTGAGGACCTGAGGTTCCTTCCAGCCTCAGCTAGAAGATGTTACAAAAAAGGCTTTGGCAGATGGTGAAACAAATCATCTCAGAAACATCGGTATCCCAGGCCCAAGCATCGTCTGTTGTATTGTACTTCATCATGAGTGAAGTAGAATCCTAACTCCGTTAGCAGGACAGGCTGTAATTGGCCAGAAGCAGCAATTTTAAATTGTTGGGGAAAGCTTAGAAATAAGACTAGAAATAACCTGAATGTCTCTTCCAGGATGTTAGTGACCGGATAGAGAAAGAATCTTTAGATGGTCCAATTGTCAAGCAACTAGAAAGAGGCGGAAGAGAGGTGGTGAAAATGGACTGGAGAGAGCACATCACTGTTCCTCTTCAGACAGGTAATGGATAGTATTTTATCGGAGTGGAAGGGCATTACATGCTGTTGCTCCCAGTTTGCCGGGACAGGAACGTAAGGGCAACGCTGTCTCAGCTTCGGCACGTGACCTTTTCTTGTCAGCAGAGTATTTCTCCAAGTTGAAGTACACATCTGCATATTGAAACATGCCTATGAGAATATGTGACTGCAGACACACATATCTTACTTTTGAGGCCAGCAGCTAAAACTGCATCAAAACACAAACAGAAATATTGTCATTTCTTTTGCAGATCTTCGAAAATTCAGATCGTATAAAGGAGGCTCAGTCCGGGATCTTCTGAGGGCAATGAGAAATAAGGTAAAGGACTTCTTTCCGTAAGCAACACACACGATGGTGCCGCCCCCTTTTGCTGCTGCTGCCAGGCTGTGTCTGTCTTGGTTAAGTGTTGAGCTGCTTTACGATAGGCGGGTATGAGGCTACTTTGGCCACAGAAGACAGCTCTGTCTAAAGAGGATCCTCGAACACGTGCCCTCTGACGGAGCGTTTCCCTTTTCCTTTACAGAAGCACCATTACAGGGAGCTGCCTCCCGAAGTGCAGGAGACCCTGGGCTCCATCCCAGATGATTTCGTACGTTACTTTACAGCTCGTTTCCCTCGTCTGCTCCTTCATACCTACAACGCTATGCGCATCTGCTGCCGAGAAAGACTGTTTCAGCATTACTATCATCAGGACTCTGCAGAGCTGAGCCTTGCAGGAGACACTGCTTGAGAGGAGAGGGACGGAGCTTTCTTCTCTGGGACCAACATTCCAAGCACAGGGCTGTGAAACAGGCCTACCTTTAGCAGGGAAAAGTGCTGAAAAGAGCTGACCTCTCTCTCTCTTTGAAGAAACCAAGCTTCCAAAAAGTGCCTTGTACCTCTGCCTGCGCTGGGTCAGGAGACGGTAGGAGCCCAGGGAGCAAGCGGTAACTTCAGACGGGCAGCGAACCCTGGTGATGGAGTTACTCCACGGCAGTTTTCAGGAGAGCAAAAGCTGGTAATCACCGTCACCCAGTGTCCCTGTACTGGATGTGATTTTGTACCTGATGTGTTTTACTACAAAGAGTCAAGTTACCGTGACTGAAATCACAGCATTACCAGGGACTGGGATCTGCACCAGGAGCCCTTTAGTTGCAGCAAAGCGCCAGAACCTGCCATTGCACTACTGCCACGGGACGCATTAGGGGCACCACAGAGGTTGTGAAGAGAATCATTCACGAACGTCCAGAACCAGTAAAGAGAGTTCCATTTAATCAGTACTACCCTGGAAAATTAGTACCTCGTACTTGAGCAGATACAATGGAGTTCTAAAAAATACTGACTTGAAAAATCAGTGAAAGGTTCACCTGCTTTGAAAATGAGCCTCATTAATTGTTCAAATGTCAGCCAGCATTCACAGAAGAGCTTGAAGAGTCCTTGATGTAAATCCCAGTATCAGAATAGACTGACGCGAGTAACTTCAGAAAACGACACCGCTGTCAGCTGCTCGCGAGAGGCTGATCAGTTACCCGCTGCCAGTGTTCCCTGCTTAGAAAGAGGGGTCACCAGTTGCAGAGCCAGAGGTAAGATGAGCCTTGGGGGGGCAAAGGGAGCTGAACAGGAACCAGTGAGATGTACAGCACAGTGAAACTGGAGGCAGTGGTGTTAATGGGTGCGATACAGCTGTAAAAGAGCCCTGGCTGCTGTTTGGGGGGTTGCCAAGCACAGCTCCGTGAGCCCGTGTGTCTGAAGATGCAGTATGGCTTTTCACTGGCCCTGCGGCTGTGACAAAGCACTAACTGTGCACGAAGGATGAAGAAATGCCGAATTCTGATAGAAGTAAGTGGGATGGTCTTTTACAATATATTTATTTAACATATTTATATTTATTTAATTTTTACTACAAAGTAGTATCGAATCCAAGTGGTAAAAGTATAAAGCATGCCAAATCATTCTTAATTGGGTTTGTGTTTATATAGAACCATATTATAACAACTGGAAGAGGAAAGTGATACTGCATCTTTCACCAGAATTCATTAAAGGAGAAATTACAACGTGGGAATTTGTATGACTGTGCCATTGTGTCTTAAACTAAATTATTGACAGTAATGTGAGTGATTGGGTATGTACAGCTACTGTTCTGGAGCGACTTTACAGGAAGTTTTTTTCCTAGTTTTACAATGTATGAGAGCAATTTACCCAAAATGCCAACTGTGCAAGTTCCATGTTTCTAAAGCTTGAAAAAAAAAATAACGGTAGTTTTACCTAAGAAGATTCAAAGCCTATTTCATATTTTTGTACTTCTCATGTAAAGTTCTTTTATAAGTCTACTAAATAAAGACCCCCACAACTTTTAGTGACGATGTGTGCCTGGGGAAATAAGTGGGACGGCTGCCACGTGTGGACTATGGCCAGGCCTGGAGCCGGGGAAGAGGGTGATGCGCGGGCTGGCAGCAGCCTCATCCTGCCTCCCCAGAGACAGGGCAAGTGCCTGGGTTTTGAGCAAAACTACTGTCTTGCTGCTACACAAAGGTGCCACCCTGCTGCAGGAAACACACACACACACTCTGTTGGGGAGGGGGGGTGAGCATCCTTGAAGGCCTGGGAGCCTCGTTTTGTTACCCAACAGTCCCTGAGCAACAGCCACCTACATCTTGGTGTCTGAGGCAGGTGAACAGAGATGATAAAGTGACTGCGTGCTGCACAGTACAGATATCCATAAATAAATTTTTTTGTGTGAGACTAAGTTGATAAACAACCACGTGGTTTACAGGAAAAAGAGCCTGTAAGATGGAATGCACCACACCTCACAAGTATCCGCACAGCCTTCCCCTACTCCAGCATTACAGGGGGTGGGTGTTTCATGGCCCTGCCAACCTCGCTTCTTCACTCTGGGCTTCGGAGAGCTGGCCTGGGGGTGGAGCTGCTTAATTTAAAAAAAAA